TTTTATTTCCCCAAGCCTTTGACAACACTCACAACATTTACAAAATTCAAAAAGATCCTTAAACAAGTAGTAGGCCAATAAAATCTTCATTGCAAAATCTTTGCAACAATTTTTCGATGTGAAAAATGGCCATCACCAATCTCCCGTATGATAAAATGAAATAACACTTGTTGCCTTATCATTGGGAACACATCCTCGGATAATTTGATCTGAGTAATATTTGAACAAGTATGAGTCATCCCAAAAGAAGTTGTGAGCTTTCACTAAGAATTTTCTCCTTTCTTGAGTACTCCAATGCTTGGGTTTTTCACCTATGACAATGAAATTTACAAGGTTAGCATACCAAGGTAAAGAAGATGTAACAAACAATTACTCGTGTTAAAAGTGTCCTTGATGGGGGTTGATTCAACAACCACACCACTCACAAGCCTCGATAAATGGTCCATCACCAAATTTTCCACCTTTTTTTATTTTTATTTTTATTTTTATCTTTAATAGTAAGATCAAACTTGTAACAATAAAATCCATCTAGGCAAGCAGGGTTTGGCATCCTTCTTGATCAATAAATACTTGAGAGCGGCATGATTTGTGAAAACAACAATTGGTAAGCCAACAAGATAAGAACGTAATTTGTCAAATGCAAACACAACCGCTAATAACTTTTTTTTTCATAGTAAAATAATTCATTTGAGCATCATTCAATGTGCGGCTAGCATAATCCATCACATGAGATTTTTTAACCACAAACGAGTGTCAATTCTAGGAATAAGGGTAGGAGGTTTTGATTATGCTTTTTAACTTTGACTCTTCAACTCTACTTACTTCAAACACTAGAACAAATATTCTATTTATATAGGTTTAAGCCATAACTTCTAGCATTATATTTGCACATTAGTACCTCCACTAACTCTTGTAACTCCTAAAATATAAAGACACTACTATTACTCTTATGTACCACAATTTGGACATTGATTATTGTCACGGGGTTAAATTTCTCACCAAATATTTGCCTCGTGATGGCACTAAGATCCTACACTTAGTCTTAGCCAAACACTCAGAATGCACACAGAATGCACATAAGAATAGAGAAGGGACAATATGTAAAAACACTGACAAAGCACACAGAATTTACAGGTTAACAAGCCAAATCTTTCTTTCTCAATAAAGTGTAAGGAACTCAGCCTTTGGTCTATTTACAAAAACGTGTCCAACTCTATTAGTGCACTACAGACCCCAGACACCCTATTTATAATGTTTAGGGTGGCAATTACAAGCCCAACTGCCTAGGCAACTGCTACAATTCAAATACTCCCAGAAATCTGTTGTGATTAGATGGCAGATGAAGTTTGTAACTGGTGTCTGCAACTTCCCAGAAGGCTATTTGAATCTAACAAAGATCCCACATGATCTGCACTTCCTAGAAAATTGTACAGAACTGCCACCATATGCTGCAAGGCACATGCCCAACTTCCTCACATGTTATGCATGTGTCAAGAGCCCCCAGCATTTGAATTGAATTGCATTTGTGCATAACCATGGCCCAGCCCATGGCTTAATCCTTCAAGCCGCATTGCCCCACAATTCAAGTCACCGGACTTCTCTGCTTACATGTTGACTTGTGCCCACATGCCCATATGCATAGACTGCCTTCCTCAGTCATACATGAGACTTCTGCCACTTTGGCTAAGGCATGGGCGCCTTTGGGCGAGACTGCCTTATGCCAATGTCACCAACGAGCTAAGGGGTAACAAACCACCCCCACCAGAAGAGCTCAACGTCCTCGTTGAGAGGTTGTCTCAATACTCATTGATCTGTTTCTCGAACTGTCAAAGAGTCACATCTCTTTCCCAACTTGCATGCTCCCTTTTCAATGCACCAGAAAATCAATCTTGCGATTCTTCTTACTCTGACTCATGGTCTGGTGAGATAGAATCTTGTCGACCTCCCTGTCAAACTATTTCGTGATGATAGACATAGCCTTCCTTGCTTGTTTCCTTCTAGCATTCAGTAAGTCTTCTTGAAAAGGCTTTAGAAAACTCACATAAAAAGTTGGGTGAATTTTCAATCGATCAGGCAACTTCAAGCGATAGGCAACATTTTCGACCTTCTTCATCACCTCGAAGGGGCCATCATATTTGGGAACAAGCCCACGGTGTACTACCTTGCTGTTGATCCTTTTCCATAACACAGGAGTCAATTTTAGCAAAACTAGATCACCAACTTGAAATTCCAATGGTCTGCGACCTTGATCAACATATTTCTTTATTCGTCGGGTAGCTTTGGCCAAGTTGTCCTTTGCCTCGTCAAGCAGCTCTTGCTTGGAACGGGCAAACCGATATGCAGCAGGACATTTTCCTTCTGTCCTCTGTTTTACCACTTCATGGGGAGTAAGTGGCTGATATCCATAGTCAACTCACTAGGACTCATTCTGGTTGCTGAAGACCTGTACAAGTTGTAGCAAAACTGGGCAGTGTCCATAAGCTCTATACAATTTTTTTGACCTGCACTGACATAGTGCGGCAGGTAGTCCTCCAACATGGCATTAATCCGCTCAGTTTTTCCGTCAGTCTGGGGATGACTTGCTGTAGAGAACTTCAACTCAAAACCCATGAGATTGAATAACACAGTCCAGAATCTGCCAGTGAACCTGGTATCACGATCACTGACTATGTCTTCCGAAAATCCAAAGTACTTCACCACTTACTTGTAGAATAGTTCTGCAACAACATCTGCATGGCAAGTATGAGGTGTAGGAATGAACACCGCAGACTTTGAGAAACGATCGACCACCACCATGATCGAACGCATGCCATCAATCCTTGGCAAATTGCAAATAACATCCATCAAGGCTGACTGCCACGGTCTGTCAGGAATGGGCAGGGGCTGAAGCAAGCCTACTGCCTTCTTATTCTCAACCTTGTCCAATTGGCACATGAGTCAGGTTCTGACATAGGCCTCAACATCATCTTTTATCTTGGGCCAGTAATAGGAGTGAGCTAGCAATGCAAGCATCATTTCTACTCCTAGATGTCTAGCCCACTAGGAGTCGTGTGTCTCACGCAACAACTCCAGTCTTAGTTCCTTTCCAGTAGAAATAAAAAGTCTGCCCCCTTTAGCATAGAGCAGATCATCATCAATCCAATATCTACGCACTAGACCCTCGTCAACTTGCTGCTTTAATTTGTCTTTGGGCGAGACTGCCCTATGCCAATGTCGCCAACGAGCTAAGGAGGTAACAATTATCCACTAACACATATTTTCTTCCAACAACATATAACATTAACACCCACCACATTAATATAATAAAATTCTAAGCAAGTTTATTTTTCAGCATAAATAACTTTGATTATCTTTGTTCGTCTCCCTTTAATTTTTAGGCTTCATTAAATTCTTAAAATAACATCCTCTCACCTCTCCACCAAACTTCTTCACCCCAAGATATTTGGTTTTGAGTCTCACCCATTCTTTGCAGTTCCTCTTATTTTTTTCAATAGCCTAGTAGTGCCTAAAAATTAAGGTCAAATGACCTCCAAATACATCTAAATTTTGAAACATTGTTAAATACAAACATTTCAACAAATCAAGAAAGAGTAGACATTTGTTAAACGCTAGCAAAAGATAGAAAAACCTTGGCCAAAACTATTCATGTCTAAAAACCAAAAACAATACTCTTGCCCCTGGTTGAGAGGATTCTTCTCCTTGACCTGCCACTTAGTTTTATAAAGGTTCTTTATCTTTGTGTTTGGGCTACTGTGAAATCATGTTATTTTTTTATATTAGATCACTTATTGGTCTACAGTTGACATGCTCGAAGTCTAACATTATGAGGTTATATGGAGAGCATGCTCGCACCCAAACCTAGTAAACTTTAGCTCCCAATTTTCATAGTCATGAGTTTGATATAATGCATAAACTTTCTAAAGTCAATACAATTTCAACTTTTGGCATATCGATAAACCGATTTCTTCAATTCTATAATTCATTAATTTTGTAGAACTTGAAGATTGAATGATAAAAAACAACTGAGGTCGACGATGATGAAAACAATGATGGTGAGTTGAGTTTTAATATCTCACCTTCTCTTCAAATGCAACGTACTATGCTTCGCCATCAACTCCGGCAGCCTAGCCTAACTAACCCACCATTTGTCGCAATGCTCACTGCCTACCTTTTTTTCAATATTTAATTTTAGATCTAAGTTTGAAATAGAGAAGAATTGGAAATCATCTATGAAAATCTATTTTAACGTGAAGAATGCCAAGATTTATGGAAAATACTCTCCAAATGAATTAGGAAACTCCTTATATCAATAAAACCTTCCAATAAGGGTGTTTTAGTAATAAAAAAGGGAGAAACTCATAATGAACTTAAGTACCAAAAAAGATTACTAATTTAGGACTTAATGCAAAATATATTTAAGGCTAGGACAAACTTTAAGCCTTATAAGTCTCCTAAATAGGATTGACCCCCCAATTCTGACATTATTTATTTGGGAGGTCTAACAGGCCCATTCATTTATCATCCAAATTTGCTAAGACTAATTACTCCCCAAATTTTGCGTTAATTTTGTGACATGTTGTTGATATGTAAAATTGTGAGCATTACGAATAGTTAGTCAGATTTATCCAAATAAAAAAAAATGGAAGTCATTGCCATAAAGTGATTGAGTTTGACCCAAATCAAACCCTTTTTGGTTCATCCGTTAATTTGGCCATCCATACAAAATTGTTTGGAGTTAATCAATTTTTGTTTCAATTGATATCGTTGGAAGCAAAAGTGAAGACATTTACGACTAGGATGACTTGTTGGACAGTTGATATCAAATTCATTAGAGGCCCACACACACATGGGCCCTACTAAACCTGCAAAGTGTACCAAAATTCAAAGATGGGAAAGACTACCCCACATTTAAAATACATAAGTATTCCTAAATCTTCTAAAATATTTCAATGGGGCAATATCCTAAAATTTTTAAAATTCTAAATACATTCCAACTTTTTTTAAAATTCTAGTCGAGGCAGCTGCCCCCACTGTAGCTCCGCCCCTACTTGGGCAGCTTGATTTGGTCCATTTGAACATAATTGAAATGATGGTACATCATCAAGAGGAGATAAACAGAAGTCCTTGGTGGAGTGACCATACCCAGATAATTGCTCTGGTGTCTCGGATTGGCCATTGAGTTGACTTGCCACAAGCTGGTCCACTGCAGCCCAACCACGTGGCCTTTCCTCCGGTGCCTCGCCAATTTTCAATGTGCAAGCACTGCTAGGGTTGGTGCTAGAAGGTTCGGTTTCTGAGAGCATCTCATTGAGTAAAAGATCACAATCCTCAAAACAAGATTCTAGATTAACAGCCAAATTACTAACAGGAAATGATGTTGAAACTCTTGGAATTGCTGGGCTAGGAATTGGAAAAGGCAAGAACATATTAGGAAACTCCTCACTGATTTGCCTGTCAATTTGATTCGGGTAATGCAAGATCTTACTGTTGTTGATGTTCCTATCGATGATTTCTCTTTTTTGTTGCTTGCAACACTTCGCCTTGTTTTTAAATGTTTTACTAAGAACAACATCATTTTCAATTGAATTATGAGGTTGGGCCCTGGAATCTGGAGACGATAATGTGCATTGGGGACTTTGGAGGGTCTTGGGGAAGTTTCTTTTTCTGAAAATTCGACATACAACCCAAGGATCGTCTGTTGTTGAAGTTCGTGCCAAATTCGAGCTCTGGATTCACAAAAGTATCATTGAAATGGATTGTTAGATGTACAAAGACGAGAATGTATGAATGCATTACTCAAGAGCATTGCAACAATAGTATCCATGAGTACTATAATGCTATCATAATGTGACATTTTAGTAATGTCTTGTATTATGTACAATATAGATGTGAACAGTTAGAACCCATTTCCATTGTACGACAATTGTATGATTTGATTCCCCAAATTAATACCGTCTATTTCAACATATTTCGCAAACTACCGTTATTTCTATGGAAACATCTAGTTTACCTTGGTATCATGGGTGGTGTCATCTAGCCTATATTCATAGATGATCCAATCTGATTTTTTCCCGTATGGCGCTCGCCCTTTGTAGAACACCAAAGTCTTTCTCATTCCAATTTTTCTATAGCAGCTGTTTATGGCCTTATCACGGCCTGTAGCCTTCCAAAATCCGGTTGCAGTTGCACGATTCGTCCGACTCCCAGTTGGGTATTTTTTATCTTTGTGACAAAAGAAATACCATTCATTTTGTGGGGTGCCTCCTATTTTGCACCTCTCTACAAAACAAAAGAAAACCACAAACACCATAATTAGGTTAATCATAAAACTAGCATAGATCATAGTAAATTGGTTATTATAAAAGTGAGTTTTTTACCAAATCCTTGTGGTTTGGAAAAAAAATTCTCACAATAAAGCGATTTTAAAAAAAATGTTACAAGTCTCTTGCTGCTACAACGAGTTCTATTTCATCATTTTTATGGTTACTTAGTTCCAACATGTCATTTTTTAAATCTAAATAATATTACTCTTTGGATTTTCCCACCCTTGAAATTTGCTTGGAGGAGAGCATGATTTTGTGAAAATCTTTCCCTGATAATCTCTACCAATCCCTTGCCACCAGTAACAATTCTTAAGGAATTCACACAAGGAAAATTCAAGTATCCCAACAAATAAGCCGAATTTTATGCAATCAAATATTTTGACTTCAAATTTGTGCGCTTGAATACCCAACAAATACTATATTTATGTCCCCTTTTTTGCATAACAAACCTAAAAACGTCAATCAAAATAATGTTTTCAAGATTTTTAAAATGATTGAGTTATTTAAATACCGTGGACTGACGTTTTTAGTTAATGTGATGGTTTTGATAATAATTCTTAAACTCAAGTAATTTAGTCGGACTGATTGACGTTTTTAAAAATTACTTGAATTTGAGAATTACTATCAAAACCATCACATTCTAGAAAATTTTTTTTTTTAACAAATCACCCGAGTTTGGTAAAAAGTTCCTATAAAAGTTAATCATAAAAATGTAGGTAGAATTTACCTGGGAAATCCCATGGTTCAAGCTTGTTAAGATCAACCTCATGAATTACATTGAAGTCTATCATCTCACTGGCAACTTTCTTCCTCAAGTAGTAACACAGAAGCTCCTCTTCTGTCGGATGGAATCGAAAACCCGGAGGGACCTGAGACTGACCATTCACTGATATATTCATTTCTCTGTACAACACTTAGGAATAGGAGTATGGTAAATAGAATGAGGTCGCATAGGGTTTATGCAGAATTGGTAGCAAAAATGGATATTTATATGTGGGAAGTAGGTATTACAACGTGCGGGTGTGTATCACCGTCAAGCTGTTATTGGAAAAAATATTGTAAGTATGTTAAAAATGACACTTGATCTGAATATCTATTTGGAAATAACCTTAAAAAAAAAAAAAAAAGAAGCGTAACAATGACACTTGTAGCTGAAAATCATTTACAAACAACCCAAAAACCATCACTCTCTCTCTCTCTCTCTCTCATGTTAGTTGTACAACAACCCCAACAACAAGATAGCAAAACATAACATATGACAAAGTTTGGGGCAGCGAGACTGTCACTGTGAAGATATTCCAAATGATTCAGCACCAAAGGAGAAGAAGAAGAAGATATTCCAAATGATTGGACAAGGAGTTCTTTTAGAGAGTGGTTGGAGTGTAGAATTCTAAAATGTTAGAAAACAAACAGATGAAACAAAATTATTGATGAATTCACCATTTTTATAATAGTTATTAGGTTTAAGGTAGTGATAAAAAAAAAAAGGTTTAAGGTACTGTATGTTATCAGCACTAAAGAAGTCGCGTAGGTTTGCCAAATAAATAATAATATTTAAGACTTCCAATTTTGTTTTGAAATGCAATTAAAATAATTTTAGGACCCCCAATTTTAACTAGTTTTTGAGTCTAACTTTAGTAAATTTGGATAATAAATGGATGAAATTATTTGGCCTCTCAAATCAGTAAATCGATATGACTCTAATAAAGCGCGAAACAAATTCGTTAAACTATAAATGACTATTAGAGACGAACATATATTAAATAAATTCTGACATAATTTGATCGTATTATTATTCTTATATTATTTTTATTTTTTTAATTTTATTTATGTTTATGTAAATACTGAAAAAATAAGTTATCTTTTCACGCAATACTTTTAATTTATTACAATCTAAGTCAATTGGTTGAATAATTATTTATCACCTAATTTTCATAAATAATAATTTTTTCTTAAATTAAATTCAAGACATTTTTTTTCTGGATCCATTTTTTGCTCAATTATTTTTTTAAATATCTAAGAAACACGAGTAGAATGACAGAAAAACATATCGATTTTGAGTAATTTACTATTCATAAATCTAATTAACATTCGTTTTTTAAAAAATAATTTATTTATATCGATAAATTTCAGTTCTCTCTATCTATTTTCAACTGTTATATTTTAGTCTTTAAATTCAACTTCTATTAATGAATTTTTTATAACTAAAACTTGAATGCAAAGTTAGTAGTTTTACTTTCTCATATAAAAATATAAGTTTTAAATAAATATATAGTAAAATTTTAATTTTAATTTTGTCATATTTATATTATTATATTTCATAGCATAGCCGCCCCAAGTGAGCGAGCTATGCCAACAGCAGATCCACAACAATCAAAGAGATGACTAATTAATATGAACTTCAAATTATAATTTATCCCCATGTAGTTTGAATGAGTGATATATTACCTCCCCAAGTTTAAAAATCTCTATACACATTGTGATTTAAGGCCAAAATGCAAACACGGAGCGGTAATTTTTTTTTTGGTTTTTGATTTAATGGTTAAGGGTGTTCGGACCAACTTACGCAATTAATTCTCTCTCAGATCCGTTCAAAACAAATTTACTTACACCAGAATTAAGATATTCATAAAAGAAAAATCCATCATGATCTAACCCTAAAATGTTGCCAAAATTAACGTAGTTTTGTTTTCTTCTTGTAGTAACATATTGGATCACATTGGACATACAAAAGTTTTGGATCGATTTTGTATATGAATCTGCGACTTGGACATTCTTTCTCTCAACTTGGAGATATATTTTGTAATTTTGAAAGGCAACAAGCAAAGGTTGTTAAACAAATCGACCAACTCAAGTTTCATTCGTTTTGTGTCAGTTTTAATTTGATCATTATATGAACGATCAATTTTTTTTAAATTCATTTAACTTAACGAATGTTGTGTTAAGCATACAAAGCCTAATTTTTAATCAAGAAAGTTTGAGTTTGAGCCTTACTGTGCATGAGTTTTTTTTACCTGAACTCGAGCTCGAATTCGAGTTTATAACATAAAAGTAGCCTGGTCAATTCAAACTTGAGCAAGATTCCAAACTTGGTAATCAAGTTCAAATATGTGATAATCAATTGGAGTTGAGTATTAGCATACGAAAACTCGAAAGTATTGGCTCGAGTAGCGTATCCACCCACCTCCAAAAATAAAAAATAAAAACACTAACATGCAACCATCTTCATGTGCCTTTTTTATTTCCACAACGAAGTACTTCCAGTTTTATATTTTGATTAAATCCATTAACTTGTTAGTACTTCGTATGACAGAGGAATCTAACAATTGACAAAATACAATGGCTTGCTTGTAGGTTTGCCCTGAACAGGATTAAATTAATCACAATGGAATATTTCCCTATTAATTAAAAAAAACAATGGCTTGGCTGTAGGTTTGTTCTGAACAGTCTTTACATGTTTCAGTTCTGCGAGAGAAGGATAGGACAAAATTTTGGACTTTTTGCATTTTACATCTTGAAAGAATTTTAAATTTTTTATTTTATACCCTCAAAAAATAATTTTTTACATTGCACTCCGAATGTGTTAAAAATATTGTAATCCTTCTGTTAGCTTTATATTATTTTTCCTGAATATGTAATATTTATAGAATCCAAATATTGTTTACCCCCCCCCCCCCTCATGTGAATCAAATCGTAATACAAGACATCCCAACATTAAAAGCTATATAAATCTTTGTCCTCTTTCCGGAATATATTTTCATAAATATTGAGTGTAACCATTAAACCATATTAACAGTGATACGTAATAGAATTGTGCACTAATAAATAAATAAATTAGCAAGTGAACTCTACTAAAACTCATAACCATACACTTATGTAATATATAATTATCTCTATGATAGGAAGTGAATCACATTTTATATATTTTATTATTTTTTTAATACTGACAGAGTGTAACTGGTTATACATAATATTTACTCCTTTTTATGGTAATATTTTCTTCTTCCCCTTTTTCTCAAATTTTTGTGTTGTTTTTAATGGTTATACGAGGTTTATTTAAAAAAAGGGTAGGATGTAGATTGTGTGTCAAATGATATGATAGTCAACAACATACGACATTATAGTAACCTCACTTTCCTATTTTAATTAACACGTCCAATCCCTTGGTCCATGCTTCTAGAGTTCTCCCAACTCAATCTTTTTCATATGATTTGATTGGTAACTAACTGAGGCCTACTTTGGAACAGACGTTGAGGTTTGAATACAATTGTGATAGCAGAAAAATTCAGCCAACCAACAGTTCATGAGCTCATTGAAAAACGTAAGGTGAGAAAGTTGGGGGTGGTGTTGGACCATGTATATTTTCTCTACCTTGCTTAGTTAGAGATGGGCACTAATCTGTATATATAATCACCATATTTAAATAAGAGTTGATGGGTCGGTCTAGATTAGATTCAGATCACAGATGTAAATTAACAAAGATTGAATCACAATTCTAGTTAGGCCAAGCCCACATTCCCGAGAGACCCAACCCATCATTAACGCATGTGAGAATATCCATCCAAGAAAAGAGAATTTGTGAGGACGTAGTCATTAGTAGTACGCCACTAGTCTCGCGAGATCACCTCGCAACTTATGAGATAAGTTGAGTTTCAAGGAATCACCCGCTATCATCTCGCTCGTTACAAGAATAAGACGAGTTTCACAAAATCAATTATAAGGATATTGCATCAATTAGAGCCTCTCGAAACCAGTTTCACTTGCCTATAAATCGCAAGTACCATCGTGGCAATTCTCAGTGGAATAGGTGACCCAGACCGAACAATCTAATCGTTGTCCTTGCTTGTGTTGAGTTCTCTTTACTTCATTCTTGATTGATTTTGTATAAACTCACTTTTGTATATCATCAAAAATAATATTATTGAGACATAAAAATTGATATAATTTGCTGACGATCTAATGATGTGATAATGACATGGTCTAGTATTTTTGTGACTATAACAATGTTGAATT